TTTTTTTTTTTTTTTTTGGGTACCAGGGATTGAACCCAGGACCTTGTGCTTGCCAGGCAGATGCTTATGCCACTGAGCTATATCCCCGACTAGCTCTTCTTTCCTGTCTGGCTTTATTTTCAGGCTACTTTGATAGCCTGGCTTTCTTCGGTTTTTCAGTTTTCCTTCATTTTCATTGTAGAGTTTTTCTACGTTAAGGTTTCCTTTCCTTTTCCTGTCTTGTGAGTGATTCTGGGTAGATTGCTCCTTATGTTCAGGCCTAAGGGCTGAGAACAACAGACTGGCCTGTACCTTCTCAGGTTCACAAAATCCCACTTATTCCTCACTCATCACCCAAGGCCAGCTCCCTATCAAGTACATTTTAATGTAGCTAGATAAAATTGGAGAATCATAACATGTTAAGCCATGATATGGGTTGGGGATGTGGCTCAGTGGCAGAGTGCCTGGCATGTGTGAAGCTCTCTATGGGTTCAATTCCCAGCACCATAGGAAAAAAAAAAACAAAAACAAAAAACAGAATAAAGAACATGTTAAAAAAAAAAAAACATGTTAAGAGATGAATTTCAATCTGATTTTGTAAAAAAAGAAAGAAAAATGATTTATTTATGTCATAGTTTCTTGCAGTGGGATAAAACCCAAATGTGAGGTACAGGCAGGTTAGGTGAATAATCACAGCAGGGATGGTATGAGACCGAGTGTGGTAGGTATGTGGGAAGCTGCAGTTCATAAAATTGTCAAAAGGTGGTCATTTCCAGGTGAATATTCCTGTTAGTCCTATTTTCAAAAGTAGTTGGAACTCTGAATTTTTATATTACTTTTGAGTATTGGTAGAATTTTGTCTTTTTAACATTATTGGGCCCAAACAAACATAGCTGCTGAGTAGATTTGGAAGGCAGTCAATTGCAGTTCCCTTTACATGGCCATATGTTGAAGGCAGTGCATGCAGAAAAGGTATTTTAAGCAATGTGCACAAGACATCAATAAGGTAAGTGTTGTAGGTGGCTTAGTCCCTTTGAACTCCTTTAACAAACTGTAAGCTGGATGGCTTATAAATAAAAGTACTGTTCTGGAGGCTGGGGTGTCCAAGATCAAGGAACCAGGTGAGGGGGACTGGTGTGCTTTCCTCTGCACAGCCCCACTATATCCTAAGATGAAAAGGACAAATAGGAACGCCCAGGTCTTTCTACTCTTCTGCTCTAACAACCTCCTAAAGGCCTCCCCAACCCGGGACGTGGTTTCACCACAGAAATCCAGCGAGGAGGGGAGCAGGAAGGCAGACAGGCCACTGGGTTATTGTTTTGCCTCAGGGAATCAGTGTACGGGTTCTGAGTGGAAAACCTCACCCTCATAATACAACAGTAGCAGGCAAGGCCAAACCAAGGTTTCTCTTTAAGGCCCACCTAATGGAAGTGGTTAAATAATTGAGACAAAATGATAGGAGCAACGCGACACCCGAACTTCCTTTTTCTGTAATTAAACCCACATGAAACTCACTTATTTGTTTTACAGAGGACTAAGATTCCCGGTAGACATAGTTTCCCCTTGACTGCAAACACCGCTGGGAGCTAGGAGCGTGTCGAAAGCGTCTCCGCGTCGCACCGCGCGAAAGGTCGGCTCCGGACTTCCGGATGTGACGTCACGTCCCGACGGGGCTCTTCCGCGTCGACGGAACTCTGGGCTCCCGGATCTGGCTGTTGTGTACGTGGACTGGTCCCGCGCATGCGTCGGAGCGGCCCGTCCTCAGCTGCGCGCGGCTCGCTGCGGGAACTCGGCGGACCCCCGGGAGACTGTGGGGCATGGGTCTCCGCTGACAGGACCCCCACGGCGGCCGAGGCGGTAAGGCCGCGCCTCCACATTCTCTCCCGGGCCGAGGCTGGTCGGCCTGGCTCTCGGCCTTCCCGGCGCCGCCGCCCCATCGCCCCCGCCACCGCCTCCGCCGCCGCCGCCGCTGGCTGAGGAGGAGCGATGAGCTGGTTCAACGCTTCCCAGCTCTCCAGTTTCGCCAAGCAGGCCCTGTCCCAGGCCCAGAAGTCCATCGACAGGGTCCTGGACATCCAGGAAGAGGAGCCGAGCGCCTGGGCGGAGACCATTCCCTACGGAGAGCCGGGTAAGGGCTGGGGCGGGCGCCCTGTGCCCCAGGCTTCCTTCAGCGAGGGGCTCTAGTGGTGGAGTGCATCTCCCAGGCTTGCCCAGGTGCTGCCTGCTTCAGTCTCCACGTTGGGTTTTGAAGTTTGTCCACAGGAAACCCCAGCCCCACCGTCCTCTTTGCCTTTGGTCCTGAGTGCGGGTCCTGCTGACTTGAGATGGCTTGGCTCCAGTTTCCTGCTCTTGTTCTAACCTTCTTCAGCCTCGAGAATTGCTGTGCTGTTTGTATCCGAGGTCTGAAGTATGTGAGCAGAGGCGATGGAACAATAGCTGACATTTAAGGAGACTGCTTGTTAGCACAGAGTTTATTAAAAATAGAGTTGTCATTTTCAGCTCTTGAAGATAGGTTTGTTAATACCCGAGTTTTGGAGAAGAGCAGAATGAGGTGTACAACACCTGAGGCTTGCTGCAGGTCACACGGCATGTGGGCAAGGTATGGCCAAGATGTACCAGTGACATGGAGTCTGAGGTCCAGGAATTTTAGATTGTATCACACTGTTTTGCATAGCCAAGGCTGTTACATTCTCTGAAATTAATTTTTCAAGTCTTGTTTGCTCTTAGCCTAAAGAATAAATAGTTCAGCGTATTTCTTTGTGGATTAAGATTTATAGGTTTTGGGAGTATAAATCTTGATAAGAAAAGATTTTCTGTTATTGTTGTTTTGCTTTTTGGTACCAGGAATTAAACTCCCGACCTTGCACTTGCCAGCCTGGCATGAATAAGTTATTTTTGACTACTTTCTGGTGTCTGTTTTTAATTTTACATTGTTGAAGTCAAGACCTAAGTTAGAGATGCCTTATTTTAAGATACAGTATTTTGGTGCATGTGTGTATATCATGATCCTACTACTTTTTACATGATGTTATTTAACCAAACTTGCTGAAGTATCTCAACTTTATTCTTTCATGTATACCTCACTTTTTCCCCCCACTGTATTTAGGGCAAGGTGTACAGGGTCTCACTAAGTAGATCTGACTCATAGTGATTCTCCTGTTATCAGGCTCCTAAGTGCTGGGATTACAGGCACCTGCCACCATGCCCAGTCTCAAATGCTGCCTTAGCAGTGCCCTGTGGGCAGGGCCAGCACAACAGCCAGGGATCACACCCGGCAACTGTGCAGGTGTTTTGTTCTGCTGAGCTATGTGGCTAGCCCTATACCTCACATTTTGAATTACTAAACTGAGCCTATAAGTTTCAAATATAAAGCTAGTCATTTTCTGAAGTCTGGGATATGAGTTATGCTGTGTAATTTATTTTTGAAGTAATGAACTCAGGTTCTAGTTAAGGGCCATAAATGTTTATTGATCTCTTCCTGTGTTTACAGAAAGGACTATATATATATATATATATATATATTTTTTTTTTTTATGTGTTTAGTACAGGGTCTACAAGCTCTCACTACACATATTAGATTTGTAGTGATCTTCCTGTTTTCATCCTCCCAAGCACTGAGATTAAAGGCATGCAACACCATGCCCAGTCTTAATCACTATCTCAGTGTGCCTTGGGGGCTAGGCTGGTACAGTATGCTGGGAATTGAACCCTGGTTAATCCGCTGTGCTATCTGGCCGGCCCCTGAACCCTAAGTCTTGAGAGTGTTTAAATGGTTGTCAGGCAACCCTATAATTACTGTATTAACCATTCTCTAACAGGCAAACTTAATTCCTGTCATCACTAGGATAGTGATAAACTTGTCAGTAGACAATCTTGCTTGTTCATTTGCAACTTTAATTTGTGTTATTTTGCATTTTTTAAAATATATTGAATAAATGAATGCAAAACCCCAAACTGAAATGCTTGTTTCATTTCTACGGAGCTCTAGGAATTGTTATTTTTTTTTTGTTGTTGGCGGAACCGGGGATTGAACTCAGGCCCTTGCGCTTACCAGGGAAGTGCTAATTCCACTGAGCCATCTCCCGGGCCCAGGAATCCTTACTGTTGCTGAGTCTACGGAGCTCTAAACTTGTATTAATGGATAGGCTTTCCTACAGGATCTTTTAGTTATTTGTACTCTGTCCACCATCTAATTGTGGAAAATCTCTTGTAATTCTGCTCAGCCACTTTTTAATATAGAAAAAAAATTTAAATGATTTAAATATTTTAGCAAATAGCCATTTTTTTTGTCATTGGGTTTTAATAGTTGCTGTTTCTGTGACTGATATGGCCATTTCCGAGAACATATTTTCACTGTAGTGTTCTAAAAGCAGATCCTAATCCAGTCTGGTGACACATTCCTATAATCCTAGCACTGAGGAGGCTGAAACAGAAGGATACTGTGAGCTCTAGGCCACCCTGGGCTACATAGTGAGTTCAGAGCCAACCTAAACTACTTAATGAGACCTTAAAAAGAAAAAAAATCTTAGTGTCAACTGGTTTTTAATTTTATTTTTTCTTTAGTGTCAATCACTTTTTATATGAAAAAGCAGTAATTTTAAAAGTTGCACATTTCTGAAATTACAATGAAAATTGATGATGTAACTTGGAAATTGGGAACAAATTCCAAGAGAGCAAAACTTTCAGAGTAGGCTTGGAGAGTGCGACTTGGAAAATGGGTGTGCATTTAAGTGGATGAAAATGAATTTGTTTGCTAGAACTGCCTGTTCTTATTAGTTTAATTAGATCTTACATTTGCCTCCAGTATCTTGGATTCAATTTTTGAGTTGCCCTTTGCCTTATAAGTATGTTTAATTATTGATATTATAAGAATAAAAATATTAAACTAAGTCATTTTGCTATGACTGCACATGACCTGTAAGTAAGGATACTGCATGTTTTTATGAGATGATATTTCTTGGACTTACCATGGGTTATAAAACATGTACCTTTACTTCCAAAGTTTGTTGTAGGAGGGTGTAACATACTTGCTTCTACTAGTCTAGGCTAGGTCTGATCTTTTACCTGTACCACTAGTTTCTCTCAGGCAGGTACACATTAGTTTTATTCTTTAAGGCCCAGTGTTAACCCTGGCACCAATTAATGATACTGTAAGCAAGGTGTGTTTTGTTTTTGTTTTTGAGAGTCTTGCCTACATAGTTCAAGATGGCCTTGAGTTACTATGTAACCCAGGCTGGCCTTGAACTTTCAGCTGCCCTCCTGCCTTAGCCTCCTAAGTGCTGAAATTACAGGTATATGCCACAACACCTGGCTTATAAGCAAAGAGTTTAGCAGTCAAATTATTGTTTGTATTTCATAGATATAAATTCACATTTATATTTATAGTGATGCTTGAAATATTAATCTAATATAAATATACTTTAATATTACTTTTATATCAAAGGAATAAGTTCCCCTGTCAGTGGAGGATGGGATACTTCAACTTGGGGATTGAAATCAAACATGGAACCTCAGAGTCCACCAACAGCCTCTCCTAAAGCAATTACAAAGCCAGTTCGGAGGACTGTAGTAGATGAATCTGAAAATTTCTTTAGTGCCTTTCTCTCTCCAACTGATGTCCAGACTATTCAGAAGAGTCCAGTGGTTTCAAAGCCTCCAGCTAAATCACAACGACCAGAAGAAGAAGTAAAAAGCACCTTATCCGAGTCTTTACACACTGTACAGTCAAAAACTACCGAAACAATTGAAACAGAAGTGAAGGATCCTTCTTTGTGTGTGTCAGCGCAAAGTCTGGCAGTAGCTACTCCATCACCTAAAACTGAAGGTCAGCATGAAGAAGCTGTTAATAAAGAAGTTGACGTGAAGGTGCCAGCTGTACATTTGAAAGTATCTGAAAGTGTTACTAATGTAAAGACTGGTACGGAAACTGCATCTACTGTTTCTACACAGGTTCTCACAGCAGAAAACAAGGATGTGGCTTTGGAACCTAAGGAACAAAAGCATGAGGACAGACAGAGCAATACGCCTTCTCCTCCAGTTAGTACCTTCTCATCAGGTACGTCTACCACCAGTGATATTGAAGTTTTAGATCATGAGAGTGTTATAAGTGAGAGCTCAGCGAGTTCAAGGCAAGAGACCACAGATGCAAAATCGAGTCTTCACCTGATGCAGACATCTTTCCAGCTTCTCTCTGCATCTGCTTGTCCAGACTATAATCGTTTAGATGATTTCCAGAAACTAAATGAGAGCTGCTGCTCCTCTGATGCTTTTGAAAGAATAGACTCATTTAGTGTACAGTCATTAGATAGCCGGAGTGTAAGTGAAATCAATTCAGATGATGAATTGCCAGGCAAGGGATATGCTTTAACACCCATTATAGTTAACTCTTCAGCCCCAAAGACTAAAATAGTTGAACCCATTGAAGGAAAACCTGAAGAAGAAGTAAATGAAACTTTAAGTGTACCTGCAGAGGAAGCAGAAATGGAAGAAAGTGGGCGAAGTGCAACTCCTGTGAACTGTGAGCAGCCAGATACATTGGTTTCCTCTGCTCCTGCGAATGAAGGACATACTGTCTTGGACAAGGTGGTGGAGCAGTGTGAAGCTGCAGAAAGTCCGCCAGAAGCACTTTGTGAGAAGGAAGATGTTTGCAAGGTAACTATAGAATGCAGAAGTAGATTTTTGTATATGTGTTTCAGAGATGAAGTTTTAAATATTTAGAAATGTTTTCATTGATACATAATGAATTGTACTAGTTTAAAAAGTTAGATATTTTTTCCATTTTAATGTAGGTTTAAGGACCTTAAAGAATTACTTTTTTTTTCTTTCCGCTTCGGTACTGGGACTCAAACTCAGGACTTTCTGCTTGCCAGGCAGGCACTCATGCCACTGAGCTATCTCCCCAGCCCAGGACCTTCAAGAATTACTAACATTAAATTATTTGAAAAATTTCCAAGGCAGTGATGGTAGAACAACTTGATATTTTAGTATAATGAAGTATAAAAGTTTCCATTTTACATCTTTTGTTCATTCTTCTCACCTACCCACCCCATTTGGTCCAGGCTAGTCATGAACTCCCTGTATATCTCAGGCTGGCCTTCAATGTGTGATCCTCCTGCCTTAACTTCCAAAGTGCTGTCCTGGGATTATAGGCGTGTACTACCTTACCAGTTTATTGTTGAATCTGTAGCACTTTAAAATTCTCTTTTGCTGTGTTCATTTGTGTCAGGTTTCAAAGGATTGTCTTCTTATATTAACATGTTTTTTTAACTTTTTGCAGATAAATGTACTAAAAGGAACCTAGATACTATTTTTCTTATGTTTCAATCTTTTGTATGAGCAGATGAGTTGTACCAAATTTTAAATTTAGTCTTTTATTCAGACTTTAATTATTGATACTCTCCTATTAATATTCTAATACTCATTAATATATAAGACATATACTCCTTGTAATGGTTTAGTTTCTTGTTATTTTTAATATTTGGTTTGTTTTTAAATTTAAAAAACAAATCTTTTATTTATGTATTTGGTACAGGGTCTCCCTATGCAGCTTGGACTCATAGTGATCCTCTTTTCTTAGCTTGCCCAGCACTGGGATTATAGCCATGAGCCACAAGCCTGGGGTTCCGGGGCTGGTATGCATGTGGTACCGGAGATTGAACCCGGGTCCTTGTGCCTGCCAGGCAGATGCTTAGACTGCCGAGCTATCTCCCCAGCCCCCTAGTTTGTTTTTCATGTTTTTTTTTTTGCACTAGAAATCAAATTCAGGACCTTGTGCTTGCCATAGATCTTTATTTGTTTATTTCTTTTATTAGTACATGGTATAGTACATACTGTTGATATTCCTTGTGGGGAATTGGTACTTATACATAATTTTTTTAATATCTCCAGTTGATAACAGTCTTACATGAGTGAGAATGGGAAATATCCAAGGAACAAAGACATTACTATACTTAGTGACAGATTGCTTCTACCTAATACATCAATAGGTATAAAGTCTTTAATTTTAAGTCAGAATTTTGGTTTTTCTTATGATTTTTAGATATAGTAAATGAATTGGATATATTTTTTTAAAAAATAGAAATAGAACAGTTTCAAATCAGGCTAATAAGAGTAATGATTAATACATTGCACATTGTTATCTTCATAGTAGTTACTCAGTACAAGATATAGGCATAAAAACAACATAAACACAAATTTTTCTTTTCAGTGAACTAAGAGAAACTAGTTGTATAACTATCTTAACTATCTTGTGTATATTTATTGACATCTTGAATAGACTGATGAGATAAAGGATATTTTGAAATGTCATGTATTGAATTATCTAATTTTTTTTTAAAGTTTTATTGATAAACAGATAGCAATGAGACAGTTTCAAATCAAATCGGAAGTACAGTTTCAACAAATAATACACTGCATATATTCTTCTTAG